GATGGACGAGATGCGGTCGAATGGGAAGGTCAACTCCGCTTGGACGGGAGATTCCGTACGATAGGAGGGGAATTGTGAAAAGGATGTCAATGAGCTGTCCAGCTGTTGCATGTCAGAAACAGAAACGATGGATTCTCCTGAGCTTTTGTCGCAGCTTTTGTCACGGGCTACAAACATCCTGGAAAATCTCCGTCCAGAATGGAAGGGAAGGGGGGGAAAGGGTCGACGGGAAGAGGAAACGGAAACAAGATGTGTGGGCGTACCTGATGACGTCTCCGGGTCGAGGAAGGGGGTAGGCGGGTGTGGCGTGTGGGTTAAATACAATGTCATGATGAGCCACGTGGAGGAAATGGAGGCAGCGGGGAAGTCGTGGACGTTGGGGCCATTACAGCGGAGGGCTTAATGCGGGCTGCAAACGGGACTGTCAGGGTCTGCCTTGTTGTCGCGGCGGCGCTCGGCAGGCACCAACGTCTGTGGCGGACAGGCTGTCGTGCGGGCGTCATCGCTGGCGCGGCGATTGCGGCGCGTTTGGAGCCGTGCGGGGCCACTGCGGGCGCGGGCAGAGGATAGGTCGGCGTCCTCATGCAGACGTACGAGGAACAGCCTGTCCCTCGGTGAGGGTTTTTTTTATTTTTTGACACCGTCGCGCTGCGCGGCACAATCGCCATAATTGCTTCTCTCGCGACTTCCTCTTGTCTGGCGGCCACGCACCGCGGGGGGTGCGAGGGGCGATCTGCCGCTCGAAGCCTCCACCGCCGCGTCCGCTCCCCCAGCGCGCGCAGCCGGCGCGCCGGCGCGCCAGCCTACGCCGCGCCGGCCTACGCCGCGGGCTCGGGCTTGTTGGGCCCCTGCTCGGGGTCGTCCCTCTTGTAGAACCAGTCGACGCCGCCGTACACGCGCTGCAGCTGGTAGAGCTGGACGGTCTCGTTGGTGGCGTGGCACGCGAACAGCAGCATGTTGCGCGGCTGCACCTTGATGGCGAAGCGCATGAACAGCAGCGAGTAGACGCACAGCGCGGCGGTCATGTTGGGCGAGACCTTCTCCGGCGGCTTGGTCATGTCCTTGAGCGCGGCGAGCGAGATGCCCCAGTTGGTCACGGGGCCCCAGAAGTGCGACGTCTTCGGGCCCGTGGGCGAGTGTCTGCGCGCGCGCGAGCAGGCCGCAATTTTTTGTTTTCACCCGCCGGTTAGTTAGATTGCGTCGCCTCGTCACGCCAAGCGCGCGTGGGGACGCCGCGTGCGCCGCGCTTCGCCGACGCTTACACAAACTGCATCAGCCGCGACGGGTGGACCGCCGCCGCCGCCTCGCCGCCGCCGCTCTTCTCCGCCGCGCCCTCGGACATGGCGCGCGTCATGGCGCGCGCGGACGGCCCCGCCGCGCGGCTGAGCATCGAGCTGAACATCTCGCCGATTCGATGCGTGTGAAGCGCGAGATCTGTGGAGCGCGAGATCTGTGGAGACCGGGAGGGCGAGAAGATGGGGATGGGCAAGGCAGTGGAGAGGAAGAAACATGGAAATGGAGCAAAACTTGGCAACCCGAAATTGGAGAGGGGGTGGGGGGGAGCATTACAGAGGCTTGGGGATGAAGCGCGATGGATGAAGCGCGATGGAGGGCGCACGCAGACTCCCTGACCCTGACAAGAGAAAGACGGATGTATGTAGAGTACAGTGTACCTGTACTGGGAACATTACAGAGGCTTACTGTAGGTTGGTTGTACTGTAATTCATGATTACATTACATAGGCTTACTGTAGGTTGGCTGTAATTCCATGGTTACATTACATAGGCTTACTGTAGGTTGGCTGTACTGTAATTCATGATTACACCCGGGCGGAACCTGCGATGGACGGGATACGGTCACACAACTTGCGGTGCAGCAGATACAAGATGTATGGTCGCAATGATTCTTCCAGAGCCTGGCGGCTTTCCAGTTGCAGAGAGTGAGCGCAGCACTTGCGCTCACTTGCGTCAGAACCTTCTACCTCAGTCCCTGATTCACTTCCTGCGAGACATCAGGGATAACAATAACGGCTTCACGTCACGCCTTCCTGTTGCCCCGTTTAGAGCCCCCCCCCTCCGCCCTCAATACACAATCCCCTGCGACTTGAGAAACTTGTCCGCCTCGCCCGCCCAGTAGTCCGACACGCGCACCTTCATCCCAAACGCATTGGCCATCCCCCTCAGCAACACGGACACCCTCCCCACCATCACAAACTCGTCGTTGATCTTTTGCACGGGGTCGCTGCGCTCGAGCCACTCCATAAACTCGCTCACGTTCCTGCCCTCCAGCACGTCCTCCGAGTCCCTGCAGTTGAAGAACACCGCCGTCCTCCAGATGATCTCCTTGTCCATCCTCGCCGTCCGAAACCCCACCTCCTCCGTCATCACCCGCACAACCTCTTTCTTATCCCCCCGCCCGATCGCCACCATCAGCTTGGCGTACACCACCCGCTCCGCTACCCCGAGCCGCTTCACCTGCCCGTAGTCCACCAGCCCCAACCGCCCGTCCGGCATCAGCAGCACGTTCCCCGGGTGCGGGTCCCCGTTGAACGCCCCGTCCACGAAGATCTCGTGCGCGTGCACGCGCAGCAACGTGTCCATTACCTCCCCCAAGTTCACCGCCCGCTCCCGCTCCACGTACGCCCACCGCTCGCCCCGTGTCACCGCCCGCACCGTCCAGTTCCACACGAAGATCCCCCAGTTCCGCACGCAATCACGCATCCGCATCAACCGTTCTATCCGCCGAGTCGACCGCGCTTGAGCAGACACCTCCTTCCGCTCCACCGTCCCGCTCGCAACCTTCGCCTTCTGCTCGCGCTCCAGCTGCGCAAAGTCTTTGCCCTCGCGCTCCGCCATGCGCCGCAACTGCGCCCGCACCCCATCCACAAACTTCGGCCCGGCCAGGTACGTCATCACCAGCACCTCCTTCGAGCTGACCACCGGCTCGGGCACCTCCACCACCGCGTTCCAACCGGACCGGTGGATGTTGTCGTGCACTAGCTGCAGGTTCTCCGCCTCGCCGCGCGCGTCAAACTCGGTCGCAAACTGCTTCTTGATCTCTGCGAAGAACCCCGTGTTCTGCGGCATCAGGTACCTGCAAAACATCTCCACCGTGTCGATGTCGTTCCGAAACTTTTCTTCTACGCCCGGGAATTGAACCTTGACTGCCACTTGTTGCCCGCTCTCGCGGAGACGCGCGCGATGCACTTGCGCGATGCTCGCAGCCCCGATCGGCTCATCGTCCCATTCGGAAAACATCTCGTCTGTGCTCACGTTAAGGCTTTGCTCCACAATCGCTTTGACTTGCTCTGACGGGATGACGCACGGTGATTTGTCCTGCAACTTTTTTGTCCAGTCGAGATACAGGTCTGGCAGAAAATCATCCCGCGTCGACATGATTTGGGCCAGCTTGAAGTAGAACCCTTTCAAGCCAAGTGCGAGCTTCTCCACCTTTGGGGAGTAGCGCTAATCATACAACAACAACCCCAATACAAACGTCAACAATAATTACAAGTAAGTCACGGCGCGCTTCTCACGCAATCAAAGCAATCATCTCTAACGTACGGTATGCAGCGGCGCAAAGGCCTGGGAAACGGCGACGGGATCGTCAAACTCGCTGACGCGGTACTCGACATACTTATAATGGGCGTAGATGGGGAGCATGCCCTTCCAAAAGCGGAACGAGCGGATGAGTCCAGAGTCCGAGCCCGAGTGCTCTGCCGCCGAGAGCGCTGCGGCCGTGCTTCCCAGCATGGCCACGGAGGCGCGCGACGCGAGACGGACGTACGTGGAGGGCATGTTTCTTTCGTGTACACTGGACGGGGTGCGCCTTCAGCTCCGCGTGTAGAGCAAGGGACGGGACATCTTGTGCAAGTGGTGGGCACGGGTGCAGTCGGAAGAAACGTGAGGTCGGAGGGAGGAGATTGATGAAGGTGAGAGAAGGGAATTTGTGACACGGATGACACGTGCACACGGTTTCTGTTTGCAGTGCTGCCTGCGGCGGTGAGTCGGCCAATCATTGTCGGGAGGTGTTCTATGGTTCTGATGGCCGTACCTGTCTGTAGCTTATCACAACGCTACAGGGCAAGCAACTGCTGACGACTTCTCACGCCAGGGCATAAGAGATACCCCCGGGCTCAGGTAAGGAGTGACGCAACGGTTTTGGTTGTGGCACATAAAAGTAGCTGGGGAAAAAAGAGTTAGTTTTTGTCATCACCGGCTGCAGATGGAAAAAAATATATAATCAGGTTTCAAGTTTTTAAATAGCGTGGATCAAATGACGTAACAAAGCTCACCTTCGCCCCTCATCGATTTGTCGCAGACTACTTGGAAGGAAGCACAAAATGTCACATGTAGAATGAGTGCTATAAGCGCTGGAGGCGAGCCTCCTTGAAGATTTGGGCAAAACCCCTCAAACGAATCGTGTCAAGCCGGTGATGACGAGTCGCGAATGCTTTCCAGAAAGGATGCTTCCTATTTCTGCGTCTCGACGTTTAGAACCTCTTAAGCCGATACAGTCTCGACCATTATGGACCATTCCGGCTCTCGCGCACAATACGAGATGATAAGATTACAAAACAATGCAAAACCGGCTCCATTGGATCTGCAGAGGGGAGCGAATACAGAGAGGCCCGGTATCCCTCGGATTTCTTGATACGTTGAGAATCCGTTTACGATCGGTGGCGCTGTACACTTGGGAGGTCGGTAGCAAGATTTTGCACACACAACAATCAAGTTACAGTTGTGGTCTGTTCCACTAACAAGCATGGGGAACACAGCGTTCGAATCATCGCCACGTGGATCTCATTATGACAAAGTCTTTTTATGATACAAGTCGAACGAGTCATTTGTGTAGGAAGACGCGTTCGCCGTGCATAGAAGTGTTGCAAAAACCGAATTTGTTACGGAGATGAGGACGCCCAGTGAGTAGTACCACGGGGTGGAGAGTGGATACCGACGACAGGCACTGCAACATCAAACGAAGGCTTTCTCCATTTGTACGCCGAAACCCACAGACTGTGCGCAAATTTCTCTCCTCAATGCAACTGCGTTTTAAAGGTAAACCCCCAAAAGTCTCATGTGTGTAATTTGTGTGTGTGTGTGTGTGTGTGTGTGTGTGTGTGTGTGACAGAGGGGGGGAGAAAAGTCCATGGCGCCTACGCACAGTCGCTGTTTTCTCCCCTTTTCTTGACACCCCCATCGCATAGCACGAGGAATTTTTTTTTTCCGCTGTTTGTCTCACGACGGCGATCAGGCATACACACAACTATGCGCCACTGGGGCAACTCCTTGGCCCACCACCCCATTCCACTTCGGGGGCACACAAGCGCAAGATTGTTGTAAAGGGTTCTAGTACAGTATCATGACTGATTATACAGGCTAGTGACCGAGCAAGATGGCGTGGTGTTGCATGCCGAAGATTTGGAGAGGGCACTATGCACAACGTGTTGGACTATTGCTTGCGGAACTGTAATGTCCAGTATCGTAATACTTACGGCGGTGACCAGACGCCCTTGTACATTCTCTTGGTCGTCTGGTCTGGTCTGTCCACGAGGAAGCCGCCAGGTATTTGCACGCTTTTTTCCCCATAGCAGAGGCAGTGACTCCCTCTCGCGTGCGTGATCCTCTCGGTACGGAACTCAACCTATTTCAGTGCCCCCGTCGTTTTCATATTCCCGCACGTCACGCAAGCTTGACTGTACTTTTTGTACAAGTACTGAAGCTGCAATAGAAACCGTCCTCCGCATTGTGCAGCTGTCAGGAGGCATCCACATTTAGTACCCAGGGATTAACAATTCTCCTCATATGAATACTGCTGTACATCAAATGTATTCCCTTCACCTCGTCAGTTCTCTCTCTTCGTACAACTGTGATCATCTCTCCATCAGACACCCCGGATTTCCAATCCTATCCTGGGTCCACCTGATTGCCACCCGTTCCCGTACCACAAACCCTCTCAGCACCAAGTCACCGCTTCATGCCGCCACATGCCCCAAACTTTAATATTGACCAAACATCCTTTTCATCTTTTGGTCCATCATTCCCACCACCACCACATTTCATAATCAAACGAGTCATTTCCTTATCCTCACGGCCGCCCCCTACAGTACCGCCATTCCTTTCCCCGCATCCGTCTTGCGACATATATGCAGCCTCTCTGAAGTACGTTGTCTGTACACCACAGCATTTCAAGGAGGGGAACTGCACCATGGTGGAGTGAAGTTCCTCTCCGACTAACTCGCATTCCAGAACCACATTCCCAGAGTCTCATTCCCATTCGTTGCAACGCAGGGACCTGGTCATGCCCGTTGAATAGAGAATTTCAACTGGTCATGTGCATGCATGTCTTTGCGCAACATCTCTCGAAAGAAACTTGTGTCCGCAAATCACTTGTAACTCTACTCAGTATAAGATCTCTGTGCTGTTGACCAGTACAGACATATTCTACTGTAGTACCTTTACATGCTGACTGGATACCGTACGTACTACGTCGTGACCTGCCAATAACATGTTTCGAAATCCGAATGAATTGTACTCCCCCGGGACAATACTCGCCTCCAAATGGAGCAGAAACATCGAAGAAGACTCTATGAGACATAAACGATTTTTCCGTGGAATCCGGATAGTGCTGTACTGTACAATGCCATAGCCTGTGACTGCGCCGTACATTCCAACTCGGCATATATGTTGTTGAATATATGTCATGATCACCGATCAGCACGCTGTAAAATCTCTCACTCTCTGTAAAATCCTCAATCAAGAGCACGGGATGTGGCGGTCTGTACTTTTTTCACCTCCAGATCTCAAAGATCCCCACGCCCTCTTGCCATGACGGCCTGCAAACCCGTTCGACTCCCCACACAAGGTACAAGCTGCCCTTCAACTTCATATGACTTCCAATTTTGTCGTTGGGGAATGATGAGCGCCGTGGGTGGACCAAGCTCCTGGGCAGTCATCAGCTGTGTGTTTCTCTTTGCATTATGTTGTTGTAAAGAGCTCACGGTGGCCTTGCCGATATTTTTCTACTTCAGTATCTTCCGACTGAATGGAGTCTGGAGCTAAACACCAGCTAAACACCAATCTCTCAATCTCGTTTGGTCTGTCAGCGAGTGTTGTCGTCTACTATGGCTTCCCCCTCGAGAGTGTGCTTCGCGCCCCATCACTATGGTCTATTTTCGAATTCAGTCGACTCGTGATCTTTCTTGTTTCCCAAAATGCACAATCCATGTACAGTAGCCGACTTGTCTCCTCGACCTGTCCGCCGCGTGAGGTCACAAAAGCTGCGGGGCACACTTGTACAGTAACTCTATACTGTACGACTGCCCTGTTGAAGTTTGACTCAAGAAGAAATCTCAGACTGTTTTGTCACATGCATGTGAGTGATAAAGCTCCAAGACCCCCTCCGATATATAATGCGCCATTGTATTCGCATGTTCTATTTTTCCCGGGCAAATTGTCAACGCCCAAGTTTCACTTTCACCGGACGCAACTACATGAAGGGCAGTCACGCTCTTCTCCCTCTTGTATCTGTCGGGTTTTAAACACATGTAACGGTATAGTCGTGCTTTTGAGGACAGCTCCTCATGTGATGAGCGAAATTAGGCGTCATACCAGCCATTTGAAATCCAGCTCCCATTTCTTGTCCTGTAAATTCGTCCTTGACTTGATTACAAGTTGAGCGTATTGGTTTTTCAAATTTGTTCTCGACAGGACAAAAAAAGGGGTACGAGCTTTGCTGTTACCTATGATACGCCCCGCTCAGAGTTTACGTAGTCCATCGGTGTTACCAGCCATGTGTCGCTAGGCCAATTTCTTGTTGCGGTGTTCCATAGAAACTGTTCGAAGCTTAGGAACGTTTTCACATATTAGTGGACGGACAAAATACTGGTTCCGAGCTTCCCTAAGGGCCAGACGGACATTCGGCTGTAAATCCCTGCCCTTCCCTCGTTTTCTCGATACGTTGTCTCGAAGTTTTAACGTCGAATATGTACATGCTGAGTTGGAGAAGACGCATTTCCACTCCATATCATGATTTGATATGATGTATGAAGAAAAAGCAGACAGACGACGTCGTCAGCGATGACTCAGCGCTTTGCTGAGAGTCCTCAAACGTCAGTCGGCAGCCAAGGTGGGCGCATGGCAAGGAGGAGCATGCTCTTATTGAAAAGGACTACCTCCCCTTCTCGCGTTGTCCGCTCCGGTGCTATCCAGCCTGCCAATGTAACGATAGCTGTGGCTCATCAATCGTTGGGTTTTATTTGAAGGGGTTTAAAACAAAAAAGGATAATTGAGGTTTGCATCTCGCTTATGTTTGGCCGGAAATTATACGTACCCTATGTCCACTCTTGTCACGACTTGAAGTCACACTTTTCATAAGTCGTATGTAAGTCTATCATCACATAGAAGAAGACCGCGCCCTGTCATGCTAGTTATTGGACTTGCCCCGACGAGGGATACATATGCATTATAGCTCGCTTTCACCCTTGTACTTCCTCTCGTCCGCTGTGCTGCTTTTCATGCCTGCAATCAGGAGTCTCGCTACATACACCATCTCACTTCGACTGAGAACAGATTACGGGCCAATAAAGTCCACTAAATCCGGTTTGTACAAGTCCATACGTCTTTCCTGGCTATCTGTAGATCCTCCTTTGCAGTACCGATCCTGTTGGTTTGTCTTTCCTTTTGTGCCCAGGGGAAGCGCAATTGCTCCTCCACACGCACGCACTGCATCAACCTTCCCTCTTATTATCCGGACAGCTTGCAGCTTCATTTGGGCATTCGTTTCACCGTCGCTACCTTCGGCGGGAGCCCGTGTCGAACCTGAATCGACATGATACCCACATCGTTCTCGTTGCGTCGGGCTCACACACGTTTCACGAAAAGGTACTAAGCTCTTTGTTTTCAGTCACACTTGACAGCCACTTTGCACAACTTCGCAATCATTCCAGGCTCATTACAAGCAGGCAATTTGGACTGCTCGGTGGAATTGATTATCTGCCATCTTCCAAGTTTTTTTTTTGGTATTCTTCCTACGTCCCTCCTTCAAGGTGGCCGTGAGAACACAGACAGGAACTCTCTTCAGCGACACAAACCACACAAATTCATCGCACCACAAAAGACGGAGCAACATTTAGAACCTCTTCTAAAATTGGAGGACTTTTGCATACCGCGCAAGGACGGAACAGATCACGTCGAAATTCGTTGTCCTTGTTCTCTGTCGACTTCGATTGCTTGCAATCCTTTACCGCCATCTTGACATTTTCCGCGGTTCGTCACTTGCTGCTTTCCAGCTTGAACTGGTTGCAGTTATAGCTTGTGAGTGTGTAGTGAGAAAAATTGCACAGAGCGAGAAAAGAGCAGCCCCGCTCTTCGGAGCATACATTTTCGTGAGAACGCTGCTTTCTATAATTCCTATCTCGTGGAGAGTTCTACTTATTCTTCGAACTTTGAGATGCGACAAGTGTCACCGTTAGAACTTCGCCGGTGCGTTCGCGAGTTTTTGGAGAGCATTGCAGTCCTGCCCAGATGGATTGACTCGTCCGGGCGAGATAGGCAGGGTCGCGGACATTATGAATGGGGAAATTGGAGCGATGCAATTCGAGCTATTCCGATGTGGGTTCTCGGTGGCCCTTGGCGGACAATAATTGCTGACGTTAAGACTGCTCGGCTTCTATCGTCAGTATCAGGTTTTCATAAATTGAAGGACCAAGTCGTTTGGGAAATAGTTGAGCAGACATACCAGCGAGCTGAAAGGCGACGAAGGTCCACCGCAGAAAAGGACACGGTCAAGACTCGAATTCGGAGTGTGTTCTCGTGGCAGAGACGACATGACGTCAAAAAACACTCCCTCATGTGGTTCCTTGACTTTGCGTTCGTTTTGTCAGCCTATTCCGAATTTCAGGCCCACTTCCTTTTCTCCGATTCGACCATTCCCCAAAACGATCCTGCTAGGATGGTCCCTTTGTTGGCACCGGCACAATTTGGTACACATTCAAATAGAATGGAACAAGAGATGTTTAATCATGGGTTCTTGCCATTTTACTGCAAAGTTCCAGGTCTCACAGATAAGGAGGTATCGATGGCAAGGACTTTAGCCTCCCAGTTTTGTTACAATCTGGATCGCCCTATTGTTGATATGGACGTTGATGTGAGAGAAACGCGAGGGATGCCGCGCGAGGAGAAAGCGGTCGACTTTATGACGCCATGGCTTCAAATGATGTCCTCTCGCGAACATGCAAGCGTTTGGACTTCCTTAGTGATGCGAATTCTAGAGGAAAAAAACACTCTCTCAGACCTTGAAATATTTAAGTCGGAGCTATGTCGCTCCATAGTAATTGTCTTGCTGTCGGAAATGACCAAACCAGACCATCGCGAAGCTGGATATGTGTATGATATTGCAGGGAGCACGGCTGTGGAGCAGAGTGAGAAGGAATTGCTAGTGTCATTGAGAACAGCAGGGCAAAAGCGCAAAAGAACTGTATCAAGGAGAACTCTACGTAGTGATCTTGATCAACAAATAATGGCATACGAGCGGAATATGTCTGTACAGGGCGGCCAAGCATCTTCATCCGCAGCAAGAAAAAGAGGGACAAGGTAGTCTGCATTAACCTCTGCTCCGACAAAGACTCAGGGTGCAGGCTAATCTTTCAAGAGTGATGCGCAGTAGCTCAATTCTTCAGTCAGAATGCTGAAGGCTCATGTAAAGCGGCTAAAGAAAAGTACGTAACTTGCAGTCACCAACTACCAGCGAGGTGACTGTCCTTGCTTGACACACTTTTAATCTTCGCGCTTCCGGTAGATGCTTCCTCCCTCTCCATTACACAGGTGTAGCGCACTAGCGGTTCGAGTTATGACAGCAAACATAAAATCGTTAGTCTAATAACTTCGGGGTACGTCCTACGCATATTACAAAGGAATTTCTCGATAAACTCTTGATATCAGCAACTTTCTGCAGGGCATTATTGTTTCTAAATCTCGATATGTTTCCTCTTCTTGCCCTTCCAGTCCTCCACCATTTCCCGTTTACGCTGCTGGTTTAACCATTCGAAGCGCATCGGGAAAACCGTATCGTCGTTTTTCCCGTTGGGAGACTTCTTGGAACTATCTGAGCACGTACACTGCATCGTCGTCAATTTGTGCCTCCGAAAGGCTATATTTGGAGTACCTAACTCTTTGGTGGAATAGGCCTGAATAGAATGGCAACTCGAAGCTAACGACAGCCACAGATGATCGCGATCATCCGCGGCAACGCCAGTAATCCAATCACCTTCCTTCGTCGCGGTAACAACGCGAAGTTTGAAGAAGTTCGATGAGATCCCACTGAGGATGATAAGAAAGTTCTTTTTGTACAGTCCAATGATGACGACGTCGTCATTACCTGGTATTGTTTCGATGCAAACAACAACCACTTTTTCCTCCCTCGTGTTTTCTTCGTTTGAGTGGCGGGGAATATGATCACGAATATCAACAGTATTTAGCAAACTGCCGTCGGCTGCATTCCAACATCGTAAGGTGCCGTCGCCAGCCCCCGAGATTATCCTTTTGGTTCCAATCCATTGCACACATGTGATGAAGTCCTGATGAGCGACACAAAAGGATTCTATGACGAAGGAATCCGGAAACCGCGAAATGCGCAGCTTTGCATCTCTGTCAGCTGACGCAATGAGTGAGTCTTTGAGCGCAAGGGACGTAACAGTAGAGAAATGTCCGAGAATAAGGACTTCAGCTTGCGTTTGATCATCCCGGAGGTTTAGAGAAGAAGCAATGGGGAGCGCGTAGACGTCTCCAAACGCATCAGCGACGACGACTTGCTGCCTCGCAATTGCAAAGACAGCAGAAGTCGGGCGCTTCGGCATCAAACTGTGGACGTCAACAAGCAAGAATCACAGAGGAAGAGCGCACGGATGGTCAGATTTCTCGATTCTTTCTAATCACCAGGTACACTCAAGTGGGTAGTATCTATTCTGCATTTCAGAAAGTCTTTCGTATCGCCAGCAACGGATGAGATGTACTCTCCGGGGATGTCTGAAACTCTATTCATACAAAAGTGTTCATCACAATGTGGGTTCTGTACCGCGAAAAACGAATAAAAAAACTTACTGCCTTGCGACCTCCTTCCACACGTCAGTGCTCACATCTCTTGAGAGAACAACGGCTTCTTTTTGCAGGGTCAAAACAACGATAAGGGACTGTTTCGCACAAGCCACGGCGGCACCGCAAACCCGCTTGAGGTCATATCTCTGGCCGGATATGTAAAGATCTCCACCATGGGATCCTACGACAAGACCATCTCCCCCCGCCGCTAGAACTTCGAGCGGGTAGCATTCGTTTTCCCTAGGTCGCGTCATTTCATGTGGCCTGACAAATTGAAGCTTTTACATGTTCCCAGTGTCCCTGGGCGGAGAGACAGTATTGGACCTCTTCGTGAGAGCGTTTCTCACAAGGTCAAAACAAAGACTGGCTGGGCGACTGTCCCGCGGCTTGCATCTGACATCTTCGGCGGTACATGCTTCAAACCGTATCATGCGCGTCTGACGAAGAGGACGAGGTGGCTCTGATTGACACCAATGACAACACAGAGGCACGACAATAGTCGTCTGCCGGCGGCGTCCTCCGGCGCAAATGTGATATTCAGTCCCACTTTGCATTATTTCACCCTTTTCGAAAATAGTTTCAACTATTTCAGAATTTCTTTTCGTACGTGTACACGTATCTATGGCATCGATGCACCGAGAGATGCGTAACCACACCAAGAGATGCGTAACCACAACTTGAAAGCAGTCCATGTTGTAGGCACTGATGTCTATATTGCGAGAGATGTTTACCGAAGATGCAGATACGTTCGGTGGATTGTTCATTCCATGAGTTGCAGAGAAATAACACAAACTGCTGAGGACATGACCTCAACAGATCGAACATCGCGAAGATTCTAGATGCCACACCTATCGTGACACTGAATGGAGGCATAACATGCCCTTTCAATGATAGTACCTCGATTATCATTAGAAGTGCTGCGTCAAATCTCGATGAGTCAATCATACAGGCATATGGAACAAAGAAAAGACGAATAAGGCCTACACTACCCAAAAGGTATGGAGACTTTTTGTCGAGATCACCTGCCATTGTTGACATACTGAAAACGTCTTTGGCGTGTGTGTGACTGTTTTTAGAGGCATTTCTGTATCATTCAATTCAAATATAAAAAATCGGTCATGCTCGATCGAAGAGATCAGGCTTCTGTTCTTTCGAGAATAAAAACTCGGGACGGGAGTTACGAAACGGCGAATATAACTGTACATCTGACCTCATATATTGTCACTTTAGCAGACAGAAACGGACTACGGTTGTTTGTCTCCCGCCCTCTCATCCTCCTTTTCTCGCTCGCGTCTCTCGCTCGCTGAGTGATGTCCTTATCGTAACGGTCGATGCTTAGTGTATGACGGTGCTTAGAGTGCGGCGGCTCCGGAAACCCGTTTTGGCGGCACTGGAATCTCGGCGACTGTCACCAGAAAATTCGAACATAACCCTCTGAACCAAAGCTGGCGACCACAAAAACAACTGGGCAAAGATATTTGGCGCGCCGGCTATCAAAAACGTACGGATGAAGCAGTTACAATTTCGATTCCAAAATTTGTACACCACAGCTCCCCACACAAGTTCATTGTGCAGTGAGTTACTGCACAAAAATCAGTACTTCAAAGTGTCTAAAACGAAAAAGTCATCCTGGAATCTGCGAAATTGTTGTTTCATATAAAGACGTTAGCTGGAATATATGGCTGTGGCGTTATAGCCGAAAAGTATCGATCATCCGTCATACACATTGTGCGAGTTAAGTATTGAAGAGCATATATCGCTCATTGACGTCCATGATTGTATCCGCGGGGTTCAGGCTAAGTCCTCTGTCTCTGGAATCACAGCTAGTTGCGACACTGGGGCTGAAATCGACACGCACATCTGAAGCTGCCGAAGAGATCTCTCGAGGTGGTAAGGGTCCTCGTTCCATCCGTTACTTGCTACCTTCTAAACTATGAAGCCACGAAAAACAGACATAAATTTAGGTGACCATCAGCCTTGTTGCTCGCTATTCACAAAATTACTGCATAAAGGTTTCTTGCCCAAACGCGATTTATTTCAACAACCGTCCAATGATATCATTCTTGTCAATGAAAAAGGGTACGCAAAACATTCGTATCCATATTTTGAACTCACACGACTGCATCAAAGCCGTTTGGGAAATTCGGCATCTGATTTGAAACGAACTTACATTTCACATGGATATAAAGTAATCTACTCGTAGGGAAGAAGACTTGCGTACCCGTGTAGGAGTGTAGGAGTGTAGGAGTGTAGGGGTGTTTCGTTTAAGAAATAGAAAATGGTCCTCTCAAAAAAATGTATGTTCTCAGGTCCATATCCCTAACCCTAGTTTCTTTGTAAAGACATTTTTCATATAAATTGTGTATTTCAGGCGTTCCACAAGGATGAGGCCAACCAAAAGGAAAATCCCTCTCTGGTTTATATATTGCTCATTCTCCATTCCAGTTGGTATTCTCCTCCATGAAGGTCATATTGAGGTTCATCTGACCAGGCCAACCTAATCAAGTATATGACACACTGTCACTTGGTCACAAACCTGCGCCGTCAGCGGAAATATTTTACAGGAGCTAGCACTGGTGCGTAAAAGCAAACTCGAGATTTAGTGATCTGCTGTCAATACAGCTAGAAATCAAAGCTCTACTACAGAGCATAGTCTAAAAATCATTAGAGATTAGCTGAACCATCTATAATGCCAAAAAAACGTCAGATAGAATGATTTCAGCTTTTACTCGGAAAATATATAATGTGCGCATCAGTTCTTCCAAGAGGTTGTACAAAGGCTGAGGTACTGCAAATCTGTTTCTAGGGTCAATGAAGTGAGGGGAAAGAGATGCAGGGACCTGGAATCACTGGTTCACATGCGCAGGTGTATGCTTGCAAATTTAGGGGCGGAATTAAAAGTTCCTTATCAAAATCAGTAAAATTGCTGAACTTAGTTATGTGGAAGTGAATGTGATTTAAGAGAAACTTGTAGCCACGTTTGGACAAATAATCGCTATGCAGATGAGAGAACAGGTTTCTTGTAATTATAAAACCTCGTCAAGAAGACGTTTCCAAGAATATTTTGAAACAGATACTCTGTTCGTTTTCTTCGCACTACATAGCAATTGTAATACCTGGCGGGTCTCACACATGCTTTGGTTATGTAATATGCAATTACATATTAATTGCTGAATTGCAGAAATTTCTACATTTCCTTTCCGCTGAAATACAAAACTCCCACGATTTTTACGTGTTAGCAGGATGAGCGAAACTAGGCACTTAAATTGTGGATGCCCGCCTCGCTGTAGTATGTCGGAAATCACAAAGGCCCTCCCCTGAACTTCATTTTTGCGATGGCGAGTTAAATTCCGTAAGGAAAGGGCATGCCGGAGCATCACCTTGAAGCAGCTCTACATTTTTCTTGAAAATACACACATTCAAACACTCAAGTTGATATTAAGAATTTAGCTGAGGACCGCGAAAGAAACGCTTCGCGTTGGTACTTGGGTTTAAAGCCAGAATGGCTGCATACGTTCACATATGAATTCAGCCGACCTTATTCCAGCTTTTTTGTTTCTTTGTAGTACTCTTCTGTTACAGGATGCGACAAAGACTGGTTTCAGGTACAGGAAACGCATAGGCTGCTCAGAAGGAGGCAAAAGATGCATACACATGGAAATCACAGGATCAACTACAGTAAAATGCAGGCAGGTGCCATTCTGTTCGAGTAGCACCCAGACATAGCTTCTAAAGCCGTTCATCTCCCTTCATACTCATCCACTCGCGACCGTGATTGGTTGAAGAATGGTGGCGCATTCTGCCCTTCAGAACGCAAAAGATGTAAGTTCTCGCGCCAACTGATTCGGGTTCATAGTTTAAATATATCCAACTGAAATCGTGTAGCCCCTGAAACGCAGCAAGGCTCCTTGCCTCTTAATCTTTAGATATGAGCCCCAAGAACGGTTAAGATCAGTTCCATGCCAAAGCTTATAAACGGTGGCAGACTTTACAGCGAAGAGCCCGGCGGTTAAATTTGTTTCAACAAATTTACCGACTAGACAGGTTGACTCTATTACAGGGCTATTCGCAGATGCAGCAGTCAATGATTTTTAAACCGTTATGGGAAAGGTTCTATGCTGCTTTTCCGGTAAGTTGCTGGCCGATAATTCTAAAGACGAAGTCTGTATTTGCGATTGAAGAGCTTTAAAGTGAAACTGATTGTGAAGCGGCTTCCTAAACGGCCACAAAGGCCTCAACTACTTTATAGCTCAAACCGATGGAGGGTGTCAGATGTGATGAGGACACAGAGCAATTTATTCGCGCTCGCCATCGATACGAAAGCCCTCGATGTATTGACAAAAAGCTGAATTAGGAAACGATGGAACTTGCTGAGCTGTCGAATATGCGCTTGTCACTGGGCAGGGAACAAATAGGAGCCCACAACAGCTACCAGGAATTTGCAGTATCCGGAAATGATGTGCTCAGAGTAATCTGCAGTCCGTCTCATTGACGTACTTTATTATCACAGGTGAAGAACACATCTTTGAATCAACGACTGCTAGACCATGAGGCCTTTTAACTATTATTGATCACTGCAAAGTTTCGTGAGAGCTTAGTCAATATTTCTCGACAACAGTCAAACATTGAGACGGGATCTGACAGCACATGCGAAGGTCACGAGGATTGCCATTGAACAAGAAGAGAGAGCACAGCCCATACGCGGAAGACAACATAAAAGGGGTTGGAAGGCTGCTCAGGTGGCTGCTAGGATGCGAGCTGCCGTTGACATTCTTTGTCTTTTTAAGACACGAAATGGCAGAAACCCCTCTCGTGTGTGCCGAGATGAAAGCCGTTTACGGAAACGGGTGAGGAAGTACTCGCAGATTGTCCTAGGAGTCTGGGAAAAGCGGTGTCCCTTATTAATCCATTTTGGAAAGATGCACACCATTCCTTCGATATTTCGGAAACGGTCAGTCACTTTCTCCCTTTGAGCGCTCTCCACTACGTGAGTGGGCAGGGGTTTTATACTTTAGTCATGTTCTACGTACTTCTCGAAAGATATTAACTCGAACTGCTGCCTTCGTGGCAAAACAGTACTGTAAAGCTGCAGGCCATCGACGACTAACTTTTGACGGCAGTCCACCTTGTCAGAAGGGTACGAACGTAAATTCAACTGCCCTCTTATCTGTTGAACCTTTCTGCCTCTTCGGCATCCACCTCGTCAATAACGACGTCATCCATCGGCCTCACCAATGACTGAAGATTGGCTTCTTCAGCTGCCTTCAGCTCAGCCGTCTTCTTCAGCTTCCGTCTAAAGGACCTGTCACGACTAAACACCCCTTGCACGACTGTGCCCTCCTTCTCCGAGCGTTCGCGAATCGCCTCCGCCAGCGGTTTTGAGACGTCATCATAGAAATGGTCTGTCGAACCCGACGCCCCAGCGCGCGCGGTCCGTCCGATGCGATGCAAGTACACGACGACGTTGGTCGCAAACTCGAATTCCACAATGCGCGTCACATTGCCAAGATCTAACCCGCGTGACCCCAAATCCGTACAGAACAGCAAGCGCCCCTCGTCGCTTCGATACTTGGCCAGGTTCTGCTGCCTGTCTTCCGAGTGCACATTCTTATGCAGCTGAAGCGCCTCCCCAAACTTGTCCCTGACCGCTCCCTCCCCCATCCGCGTCACCACAGCCTCGCGCACCCTTTCGCACGTCGACGCCTTGGATGAAAACACCATGACCTTATCCGTCTCCCCCGTCTCGCTCTCCAACACCTCCAGCAGCGCGTCTAACCGCTGCTCCTCCGTATCGAGATGGCGCCACCGCGACCTCAACCGGCGCGATCGCTTATGAATATCCTCTGTCTGCACGGCCCTGACGCCCGGATACCGCCTCCGCATCCATGTGATGATAGACTTAACCCTATCTCCAGTCCAGTGCGGATACGTCGCGCCAACAAACAACAGTCGATTGCGATTCACAGCCCGAACCGGCCCATTCTTCCGCGTCGCAAACGGCTTCATCCCCGGCTGGTCCAATATGCGTTCAACGTCCCTCAAGAAGCTGCCGGACAGGAGCATGTCCGCCTCGTCGACAACGATCATCTTATCGCTAGCGTCGGGTCTCTGGCTGAAGCGGAAGTAGTTGAGCAGTGCGGTCGGGGTAGCAATAACCACGCGCACGCTTGCCATATCCGCCACGTCCGGCGGGTGCCCACCGGCCAGCACCACGTGCGGCGGCGCATCCTCAGAATAGGCCTTCAGGAAGGCCGCCACCTGCCAGCACAGCTCGCGCGACGGGACCAGCACGATCGCCTTGAGGCGGGCCTCGGGAGCTCTCCGCACCGCGTCCACATACGGAAGCAGGTACGAAAGCGTCTTCCCGCTGCCCGTCTCCGCGCCGACCATAAGCACGTCGTTAACATCCTCCTCCGGCGGCGTCGGCCGTTCGGGCGTCGCACCCGCATCCTCTCCTTCCACGCCTCCCTCACTCCCCATCGCAGCCTCCTCGGCGGTGGCAGCGGCGGCGTCGGCGTGGCGCACGCGCTGCGCATACGCGGCCTGCAGGTCGAGGCCCTGCAGCAGCAGTGGGATGAGGGCGGCCTGCGCCTTTGTGGGGACGGAGATGCCGGCGGCGGAGAGCGCGGCGTCGTAGTGCGGCGAGACACCGAGCGCGCTGAAGGAGGTGTGCGTGGCGAAAAGGCCGGTGTCATCTGGTGGGGCCGGCGGGTCGGCGTGCGGGGCCGGCGGGTCGGCGTGTGGGGCCGCGGCTAGGTGCGACACGGTAACAAAGCCGCGGCGGGTGTGGAGGGAGACATGCCGCAGCGGCGGGCGCGAGAGAAGGGCCGATAGGCGCGACGGGTGCGGCGGCCGAAAGGTCGCGTAGAGGAAGGCCATCGCGGAGGGGGCTGTCGAGGTTGGCGTCAATTGGGGGGAAGTGGGGAGGGGGGGTGGGGGTGGGCGTGGGCGTATGGGACGGCGGTCGGGAAGTGCAGTGGTAAAGGGGGATGCGAGGGTCAGATCAGACACGTGTCAAGGGATGAGCAGATCTCGCACGTGTACACGTGGTTCCAGGGGCAGCAGCAGGAGATTTGAAGTTTAAATTCAATTGCGTCCTAAAAAACTACCTGCGCATCACTGCGATCAAACTACGCCGTCCGCAGCCTCCTTCCTCCCCTCCTTCCTCCCCTCCTCTATCGGTCTGAGCAACGAGTGGCGCCCCATAACACACGGCACAACGCCTTCCCGCCCCCCGCCATCCCTCTTCGGGAAGCGCTCCCACTTCCTGCCGCACCACCTCGTCTCCTCTGTAATCACGCCCCACTTCATCCTCCACCCCTCGCACGCGCGGAGCACGCACGCGCCGTCCCTCCCGGTGGCGACCAGGCA